CCCCACTCAACAAAATATGTTGTGGTGAATTTTGTGAGTTTATTCAGGAACGTGAATGTAATAATAACAACATAGTAACATAGTGTGTCTCGACACGGTGGAATCAAGTGCTCGTCAAGTTTGGGGGTCTGTGGTCTTATTGGTAGGTCTATCATTGTAAAGTTTATTCATTTGTCTTGCTTTTGATGAACAAGTAAAACAAAGACCCATCTATCTGGTAGAGAAATCGAGATTATATCTATCTATCTATCTATCTATCTATCTATCTATCTATCTATCTATCTATCTATCTGTCTATCTATCTATCTATCTATCTATCTATCTATCTATATCTATCTATCTATCTATATATATATATATACCGCCATACCTCTTTCAATCGCAAATATATGCATATCTTACTGACTAGTATAAAGCTACTGTCAGTATAAACATCAATGTGTGTTGCTTTTTCGAGTATGTGACAATATGTATCTACATGTATATAACTCTATGTATTATATATATATATATATATATATATATATATATATATATATATATATATATATATAATATACATGTATTTGCGATTGAAGGAGGTATGGGGGTCGTCTGGTGTCAAAGTCAAAGGTAAAATATACCAGAAAATGGCCACCAGAGTTTGGTGACTCCCAAGATGTAGTGTTTTTGGAAACTGCAAAATTATATTTTGTGTTCCTTAATTCGGTCATCATTTTTCAGTAAAATCTACACAGAAATGTGGTCTTAAATGGACATACAGAGTAAAAGGTATTGAACAAAAGCAAATAATTTTTTTAAGAAATAAAAGGGAAAGAAAAATTAAATTGCCAAACATGGGGAAGAATGGCAGCTTCTTTGATTTCTTCATTTTGACGAGCGCCAGATGTCACCACGATCCCACACATAATATGTGTGAGGCAGCGTGGTGGAATCAGGCTCTCGTCAATTTTTGGGCATGTAGCGTTATTGGTATCATCTTAGGTTAAATCTTGTTCACTTGTCTTTATTTGGATGAAAAGTATCCATTTATCTTGAATACAGGTCGAGATATAGGAGGTGGGGGTCACCTGTTTTCAGAGGTAAAATAAGTGAGAAAATGGCCGCCAAAGATTTGTTATTTCCTTAACTTAAGAGTACGTGGTAACTGAAAATTTACATTTTTTGTCCCTTTAATCAACGTTTTTAAGAAAAATCCACACAGAAAAGAGTTCTTTAATGGACATGAAAGGTGTTAAGCCAAAAAAACACAAAATTGAAAAAAATTCACAAACCTGTGGAAAAATGCAAGTTTCTTCACTTTGATTATTTTGACGAGAGCCTGATTCCACCACGCTGCCTCACAAATTGCCAAACATGTCCATCAATAACAACAGTAATAATAATAATTTTAAAAAATGATAATAATAACAATAATATTAATAATAATAATAATAATAATAATAATAACCATACTACTACTACTACTACTACTACTACTACTACTACTACTACTACTACTACTACTACTACTACTACTACTACTACTACTACTACTACTACTATTACTACTACTAGGTAGCACTTGTATAGCGCAAGTCCCCGCTCAACAGCAAGCTCTATGCACTTCACAATCTATACTATTACCCCAGCAGCAGACCTGAGAGAATTCTGAAACAACCTCAACTTCCTGGAAAGCATACAGTGCAAGCAGCCATTTATAGGCGCTAAAACACTAACATGTTGACAAGATCTTTCATTGTTTATGGCCGGGTAGTCATTCCCACATGGGTGAAGTGAGGACAATTCGTGTCAAGTGCCTTTCCCAAGGAAACAATGTCGGGCCCGCGGCTCGAACCCCCGAACCTGCAACCCCACGATTAAGAGTCCGGTAGCCTATCCACTAGACCAAGTGGTCACTATAAAATCATTTTTTGGTAACAAGTTTTGTAACTAAAAGGTGTCGTTGGTGAGTTGTAATGTTGGCCATATGCGTATGCAAAATGTGTCTGGGAAGCGGGAAGTGCTGTGAACAATCCCATCTTCCGCGTGACGGAGATTTATAGTATATTATCTAAATTTATAGTATTTTATATAAATTAATGAAGAAAAGTTTTAAAAAATAAAAATCTAGCCCCAATTGTTGTGGAAAAACATGATTAAGGTAAGAAAAATTCATACAAACTGCTGTGCAAAGCATGGGTGACATTGATTCACCCGTGAAAGAGATTTCTGAGGATAAGTTGCGTACAACAGTATATCTGATGGCATGCCTGCTGCTTCAAATGGGGGTGTTAATGTGGTAAGATAAGATGAGATAAGATTAAATAAAGTATTATCTTATCTAAATATCTCATGCAAAAACACTTCCAGTCATAGATGTTCGGTCACGTTAGAAATCAGTGGCTGAGAAAAGTGGGCAGAGACTTCCAATAATTCGGTTATATACAGTGAAACCAGATGGTGCGGTGGCGGAGTGGTTAGGGCGCTCGTCTCCGAAGCGGAAATTCCGGGTTCGAGCCTCGTTTCGGACATGGATGTTTTTCGCCCCCTCCTGCCCACCCAGCAGTAATGGGTACCTGACTTCGAGTTGGGGAAGTAAAGGCGGCGTGGAAAGAACTGGCCACCCTATCACAATATGCCGAAGGCCCAGGAAGTTGTCTCACGAACAATACAAGGCAATCCCCAATGTTCGGATCGGATGCGGGAACAACTATACTCTTACTTTTTACAGTCAAACCTCGCTATACCACTACCCTTGGGACAAGTGTTAAGTTGGCGGAATAGCGGGGCTGGAGGTTCAACGTGGTTTTTCTGTTATATAGCCTCGACTGCCAAACGTCAAGGGACATGATTCTGCTATGCGAACTGTATTTGAAAAGTGTCTTTTTGTTTCTGATATACATATATTATGTACATGTATTTAAAGCCGAGGTATTCTCTCTCTCTCTCTCTCTCTCTCTCTCTCTCTCTCTCTCTCTCTCTCTCTCTCTCTCTCTCTCTCTGTGCCTTTCTCGTGGTAGAAAGGTTATCAAGTAGCCAACCAGTGTGTGCTGAAAGCCGTGCCAGTGTGTACCCCAGGCGCTTAGTTCGATGGTGGTATTGAGGGGCAAATTTATATTTGTTAAATATGAATCGCACAACTCAGACAGCTGGTGGATGGTCGTATAAAAACACAAATACTATGTTTATAAATAATATAAAGGCGTTCTTTTTCATCGTTCGTTGGCAAAACCTGGCGGTAAATGGGGCTGGTGGTACAACGAGGTTTGACTGTAAATCCGACCACAAATCTCATTTGATTCGCTTTCTCCCTGGTATTAATTAAAGTGAAAAACCAAGAGTAACATTATTGAGCACTATTATATTCATTGTAAAAGAGTTCAAAATATAGAATATGGTTCGAATAATACAATTTTGATCTGTTTTTAACAAAGCATCTTCATAGCAAATTATGTACAAATTTAAATTTCATTGAACTTCTATATATATATATATATATATATATATATATATATATATATATATATATATATATATATATATATATATATATGTATGTATGAAACAGGCGTTTTACGGTCTGGGTAGCCTACTTTCATCAGGGCAAGGTTATTGAAATTGATGAATAATACGCAAACAATAAACAACAATAAGAGTCATCAAAGTAAAACCAAGGGCTGGGAAAAATGGGATGCCTAAGAACAACTTTGGACATAACAAGAAGAGAGAAGGAGAGAAATGAGAATAAGTCAGCTCAACTCCCTGGCTTGCAACAGAGGAAAGTACAGACCAATGAGGTTTATATATTACTAGCTGGGCCCCTTTCGATGAAAGGAATGATCGGTGCTTTAATATCAACTAAAAGTAATTGGCCTTCTATATTTACACTCTACTGGAATGGGGCAATAAATCTTGAGAGATGCCAAAAATTAGAAGGTCTAGATCTATACCCTCAAAACAAAATGCGCCTCGCGAAATATCACTTTCGGGTTTTCTAAAATTACAGAGACAGAAGCGTAGGCCTACAAAAGCGATCGGCGAAATAAAGAAATTTAGCTATTTGCAGCAAAACTGTCTCAAAATTGAAAATACGAAGGGCGTCATGATCTGATGAATATTTCAATGAATCTTTTGGCGAAAACCGCATGTCAATCGATGCAGTCATTAAATTTTGAATAGCAAAATTCGGCCACCACAAATAGATAATACAAGAGCTCGCAGCAGTGACGTCACACGTGCCGGACCAAAGGGGGGGGGGGGGGGTCTTACCCTCATCGGCATAGCCGGCGTGCCCCCATTTACATGAACAATCTGAGCCCCCCACTTCGCTCCCTACTCCGCTCCCTACTCCGCTCCCCACGACCTCTAGTATATTAAACACCACCCTGCCCCCATATTTCAATGCAAGCTATAAGATCTTATCGTAAGACAGCCGAGACGCCTTCATGGGAGTCTCGAAAAGAACTCAACCGTCTGTTGAACTGCGCATACGCAGCCCCCGTTCGTTTATGTAGGGGACATCACTGCCACAAACTCTAGTATGAAATATGTGAGGCAGCGTGGTGGAATCAGGCTCTCGTCAATTTTTAGGCATGTAGAGTTATTGGTATCATCTTAAAGCTTGTTCACTTGTTTTTATTTGTATGAAAAAATATCCATTTATCTTGAACACAAGTTGAGATATTTGCTAAAGAAGGAGGTAGAGGTCACCTGTTTCCAGAGGTAAAATTAGTGAGAAAATGGCGCAAAAGATTAATTATTTCCTTAGCTTAAGAGTCCGTGTTACTGAAAATTTTCACTTTTTGTGCCTTTAATCAACGTTTTTCAGAAAAATCCAAACAGAAATGAGTTCTTTAAAGGGCATGAAAGGTGCTGAACCAAAAAACTAAAATTTGATAAAAATTCACAAACCTGCGGAAAAATGCAAGTTTCTTCACTTTGATTTTTTTTACGAGAGCCTGATTCCACCCCGCTGTCTCACAAATTCTCGCTTTTTCTTTCTTCTATTTGAGCAATCTCTCTCTCTCTCTCTCTCTCTCTCTCTCAAAAAAACAAACAAACAACCCAACTCCGGCTAAACATCGAAGAATTTCCGTCGGTCCTGCATACAGGTTAACACGGATAAGTCGAACACAGAAGACTCGAAATCACGCATCCGTCGAACTGTGCCTGTGGTCCCTTTTTTCCTTCTTCTTTATCTTTGTAGGATATCCCTCGAACCACGGATCCCTCGAACTACTGAGGCCGGTCCTGACGAATTCGAGCTATCCGTGTTATACTGTACTTCGGTTGAAACGGACTGCACTACTTTCGATGCAGTAAGATAAACTTGAAAGAGGACTGCCGGTGCCTCTCAAAACGGAATGTCATGTTGTCCTCCATCGTGCGTAACTGAAGGACATCCCCAAGACGCAGTTCCAGAGTGCCTGAGAAGCAAACACATACAGTAATAATAATAATAATAATAATAATAATAATAATAATAATAATAATAATAATAATAATAATAATAATAGCAATAAAATATAATAATAATTCAATATAATAATAATATAAAAATAATAATAATAATAATAATAATAATAATAATAATAATGACAACAATAAAAATAGTAACATCATCATCATAATAAAAATAATAATATTATTAAAATAGAAATAATAATAGTAATAATATCAATAATAAAAAAGAATAACAATAACAATTATAACAACAATAATAATAAGAATAGGAATAAAAAATGAACAGTCTAGGAATTTGTTTACATCAGTCACTCAGGCAGACATTGAATCGGAAATGGCTTCAGGTATGAATGCTCCCAACCCGTTCAACACATTTTATCAGGACAGCAGAGCCGCTCAAAGCATTTTATCGGGATAGCAGAGATTTAAGAGGAAACAGACTGCGGCATTTAAAAGCGAAACGTGCGGGGGGTAGCTTCGTGTATTCCTGGCTGCTTTGAACTGTATCACACAAGCAGACATTTTGACTCTACAAAGGTCAGGACTAACACACAGGCAAAGACACTCTGACAAACAAACTAAGAAAATCCATGACAAGGTATTGTTTTTAAAATTTTTATCTCATGTTCCCCCCCCCCCCCCCCCCAACCACTCAATTTCCGGTTCAATGATCTTTAGTTCCTATTTCTGTCTTATGACATAAGGAAGTTATAAGCATTTTTCATGACCGACCCTAATTTTCATGAAGTTCTCAAATTAATTCGCCCCTGGGGGACCGGAGAGTGCGCAGTTCGCCTCTTGAAGGGTTCAGACTTAAGAGACGGGGCTTTCTTCTAACTTTTCTTCTTCAGGTGTCAGGTCTGGAGAAGACATGATCGACGACCATGGTACTCCACGACCACTACTTCCTATAGTCTGACTTCCCGAGCAGCTCAACAAATGACAAGCGCCGGGCGATTCCACCGCAGTATCTATTCGGAGACGTCTCCAACGGAGATAGGCCAATCAAAATGCTTTGTGCCTCTAGACCAAGTAAACAAATCTGGGGGGTTTACAGAGAGGCATGCCATAATTTGATATTTTGCAGTTAGGTTTGAAATTTTCTTGAAAATAATTGATTCGCGAAAGTTTTAGTGGCTATATGTGTGATCTGCAGCAAACGATAAACAGTTTGACCCCCCAAAGCAGTGCATCTGTGTGTGGGAGTGCGTCTCCGAAAAGTTCCTGGGTGCTCGCCAGAGACGTCTCCGCATATCGTCTGCTAATTCCACCGCTTCGCGACACATTTTCCTCGAGACAACTCGGGTGTGGCAGTGAGCGACTTGAATACGGCTCTCGGACTCGCAACGGTAAGGTCGTGGGTTCGAATCCCGTCAGGGGCCCAACGTTGTGTCCTTGAGAAAAGCACTTTACACGAATTTTCCTCACTTCACCCAGGTGAGATTGGATACCCAGCTATAGACAGCGAAAGATCTTGTCAGTTTGTTAGTGTTGGGGGCTTAATCGTCTGCTTGCACTCTATGCTTTCCGGGAAGCCGAGAATGTTTCTGTGTGTTCTATGGCATGCTGGGGGTAATAATAATAATTTTATTGTGTTAAACGCGTAGAGCTTACTGTTGAGGGGGGTATGAGCATTTAAAATGTCGTTATTATCATGATGATGATGATGATGATGATGATGATGATGATGATGATGATGATGATGATGATGATGATGATGATGATTAACCTACCATCCATATTGCAGATCCGGTACATGTTGCTGTCGATGTCGTCATCGTTGTAACGTGGACACCGAAAGCCACCTTTCTGGCACGCAAACATGGCTTGGTCATTCAGGAAGAGGCCCGCGTAGTGAGTTTCTGAAGGATCTACGATCGTCATCTGGAGTGAAAGAAAAAAAAATCCAATAATTTAGTGAGTAGTAAAATTGAAGAAACGAGCAAAGAAGGATGGCCCAGGACAGAGATAAATGGAAAGAGCTTGTATGTGGCCTATACCCTGCCAGGGGTGAAAGGCATTGATGATGATGATGATGATGATGATGATGATGATGATGATGATGATGATGATGAGAGTGATGATGATGATGATGATGACTTATAGTGAACACTTTGTTGCTGTGGCGCCATCACTCATTTATTTTTTTCTCAAATACTATGTTCCTGATGAAGCCTTATTGGCGAAACGTTGAACTGTGAAAAAAAAATACTTTCTGGAAATACTGCAAGGTCTTAACTGTTTTAATACCTTCTTTATACAATGATGATGATGATGATGATGATGATGGTGATGATGATGAAAACTGAAGAATGGAGAATAGCACCAAGGTCAAGTCCAATTGAGATGATTTCGAGAAAATGAGCAAAAACCTCATTCTCGAAATACAGACAAGTAAATTCCAATTAAGATTAAATCGATTATTTACTGGACTTGACCTTGTCGTTGCACTTAGTTTTCGCAGTTTTCAACAAGAACAACTAGGCGCAGGAACAGAATAGCGCTGCTTCAGTGCCTCTAATAGATAGCCCTTAGCGCCTATTTCGAATGATACTATGCAGAACTCACTCCATTTTAAGGAAAAATGTGGCTCAAACTCGTTGTTGTTTTCAGGTCTTCAACTGTCTCCTAGTTCAGACAGTAAGTTGGACCTGCTTTAACCCTTTTTGAAGCACACAGGCCTAAACCGGCCTTCCCGTCATGTTGCCATACCGGCTTTTACCGGCCTGAAGCACCCGCCTTTAATGCAGGCTTAGAAATAAGAACATTCCACTCTAGATCTATATAGATGCTGACGTCCAAGGTCTTTGTATGGGAAACTTCATTGACATACGTCGTTCAGATCAAAGGCAAAAGCAATTTCTTTGCTACACCCCCTCTGAACCTCTGAAAATCAGTGCAAAATAATTCGGTTCTGGGAAGCCATCAGCTGGCCATCATTTTGGTTCTGCTGCGCTGACCTGTTTACGGTGCTAACAGGGTGAGCAGACATCCTTCCAAGGAAACGACCGCATGTTTAAAAAAAAACCCCAATGACACAGCCAAAGACATCAACCTGTCTAAAACATAAACCCAAAACATCAGCCTGTTTAAGACATCAATCTGTTTAAAACATCAACCTGTCTAAGACATCAACCTGTCTAAGACATCAACTTGTCTAAGACATCAACCTAAAACATCAACCTGTCTAAGACATCAATCTGTCTAAAACATCAACCTGTCTAAAACATCAACCTGTCTTAGACATAAACCTAAAACATCAACCTGTCTAAAACATCAACCCGTCTAAAACATCAACCTGTCTAAGACATCAACCTGTCTAAAACATCAACCTGTCTAAAATATCAACCTAAAACATCAACCTGTCTAAAACATCAACCTGTCTAAGACATCAACCTGTCTAAAATATCAACATGTCTAAGACATCTGTCTAAAACATCAACCTGTCTAAAACATCAACCTGTCTAAGACATCAACCTGTCTAAGACATCAATCTGTCTAAAACATCAACCTGTCTAAGACATCAATCTGTCTAAAACATCAACCTGTCTAAAACATCAACCTGTCTAAAACATCAAGCTAAACAATCAACCTGTCTAAAACATCAACCTGTCTAAGACATCAACCTGTCTAAAACATCAACCTGAAACATCAACCTGTCTAAAACATCAACCTGTCTAAGACATCAACCTGTCTAAGACATCAACCTGTCTAAAACATCAACCTGTATAAAACATCAACCTAAAACATCAACCTGTCTAAAACATTAACCTGTCTAAAACATCAACCTGTCTAAGACATCAACCTGTCTAAAACATCAACCTGTATAAAACATCAACCTAAAACATCAACCTGTCTAAAACATCAACCTTAAGCGTCAACCTGTCTAAGACATCAATCTGTTTAAGACATCAACCTGTTTAAGACATCAACCTGTTTAAGACACCAACCTGTTTAAAACATCAACCTAAAACACCAATCTGTCTAAGACAATTACATGTACTTTTCTCCTTCCCCACAACGGGAGACCGTCTTAGACAAGTTTGATGGTATAAATAAAGAGATGTTTTGAATTAATGGGTACATCGTGTTTTTATACTGTTTTTTGACAAAGAAAGAACATTAATTTTTATTGGAACATCTCAGATCTGTTGGGGTAATAGTATAGATTGTGAAGCGCATAGAGCTTTTTGTTGAGTGGGAATTTGCGCTATACAAATGTTATCTATAATAATAATAATAATAATAATAATAAATCTATTATCTATTTGTGGTGGGCGAATTTTGCTAGTCAAAAGGCTTTTTAATGGCTGCATCGATCGACCTGCGGTTTTCGCCAACATATTCTTTAAAATAATCTCCAGATCATGACCCCCTTCGTTTTTTCAGTTTTGAGACAGTTTTGCTGCAACAAGCTAAACTTCTTTATTTAGCCGATCGCTAATGTAGGGCGACGCTTCTGTCTCTGTAATTTTAGAAAATCCGGTAAGTTTGTTTATTTCAAGTCGTACTTCCGTTCGATACTATCGCGCATTGTCGCGCAACACTGAGCACTATTTTAAGTGTGCGACCCATATAGATCTAGCCTCATGTTTTATTTATCTACTTGGTGCTAAATTTGACTACCATCCTTTCGTTTGATGCCCATCTTCGCTTTTTCTGGACTACTTTGTCAAATTCTTTTCCTTGCTACTGGGAACAACGTCTAGATAAGAATCTAAATCTAGTATCTAGACCTAGATAGCGCCTGACCATGCCGAAAAGAAAAGGAAGTTCTGCAGTTGGAACCCCTCGAGCTCGCAAAGGTCGAGGTGGTCTAGATCAACAACAAAACGATGGGGACTCTCTAGATCGAAATCTCCCAAAAACATTCCTCTACATTGTCAATTCCTTTCAGTACTAGTGCTACATTGGGGAACTGACGACACAGTGTACACACTGCCTGGCCATAAGATTTCCATATGAAACACAAGGTATGTGCTGTAGCAATGAAAAAGTTGATCTGCATCCATTTTCAAAACTACCTCTTGAACTGCAAATCCTTCTGTCTGGTGTGTCGACACTGTCCACTCACTTTCTGGAGAAAATCAGGCTGTACAACCATAGCTTTCAGCTCACATCCATGGGCTATACCGATGCAACCCTCAATGGATGGAATCCACAGTTTCGCGAGAAGGGTCAAGTATATCATTGCACTGGCTCTCTCCTTCCTGCCACCCAAAATGAGCATTCATTTCTGTAAGTTTATTTCGTGGAAAGTGATGCAGCCTCAGAGTGCAGAAACAGTCTTTTCCAAGTACTTGAGCCTGGGATCATTTCTGATCTTTAAGCCATGTTGCATTGCCATAATTCGTATGTCATAATCTGAAATGTGCATATGAATTTGCACGCTCACATTTCGAATAGTCTGTAGAAGTGTCATGCAAAGCTTCGTGGGCCTAAGTTAATTTGTCAATGAGCTAGAATTTTTTTAACGCTGTCAGAGGAAAGCAAACAAGCTATAGACACCACCTATGTGATTTTGAAGACGTCGGTGTGTTCCTATTTCAGTGTAGCAGTCCTTTCGTGAATTATTATTTTCTTAGTGCTTTTTTGTGATGGTGTAAGGCGAAATCCGTATTTTGTGATTGTGAAAGGCTAGACAACAACATTAATGCAATGTAGATCAAGAAAGGAGTTAATCAAGGCAGACTTAAACTAAAGCAATATAGATCTAGAAGCCAGATATGACTGTGAAATGCTAGACAGCAAGGACATGTAGATGAAAAATGCCTCTGCGGCGTAGATCAGTAGGAGCAGTGACGCCAAGTCGTTGACCCCGAGCAAAGCCGGGTGCTCAGCTAGTTGCATTTATACAGCGTATTTCAACAAAGAAGTGCTCAATGCGCTGTACAATAATACAAAGAACATATGAAGCGCACAGCTCCTATAGTAATCCCCTCTCTCTCTCTCTCTCTCTCTCTCTCTCTCTCTCTCTCTCTCTCTCTCTCTCTCTCTCTCTCTCTCTCACTAGATCTCTCTCTCTCTCTCTCTCTCTCTCTCTCTCTCTCTCTCTCTCCCCAATACACCCTTGAGTAAAGACAATCATACAAAGCTTACCCAGACACCCTCTCACGCATTGATGAATTTACACAGTCATAAATTCTTACAGAACAGAACAGCATGAATAAACGATACTGAGAGAATATAATAGATACTGAGAGAACATGATAATATTTGTATTGGGAATGTCGGAAATTACAGATTGAAGCTGGACTGAAACAAATGCGTTTTAAGTGCTGATTAAAATTTTGATAAAGTGGTGGACTCCCGTAGATGAGCTGGTAAAGCGTTCCACGGGGAGGGGGCGTGGTGGGAAAAAGCTCTCCCTCCGAGTCTCTGACTTTTGCTTTGGACAGTTCTTAAAAGTTTTTTCGTCGCCGATCTTAAAGGCCGAGATGGTATATATTCGAAGACCATGTCACAAAGATATGATGGTGCAATGTTGTTGACGCACTTAAAACAAAGAACAATTATTTTGTACTGAATTCGCGCTTTCACCAGGAGCCAATGTAGTTGAACTAGCATTGGTGTTATATGCTCTTTGAGAGATTTCTTTAAAATTATGCGAGCAGCTTGGTTCTGAAGTCGCTGTAGTCTATTTAACGTTTCAGTGGGAAGGTTTCCAAACAAAGAATTGCAGTAGTCTAGACGGGAAAGGACAAAAGAAGAGATGAGGGTTTTGATGGAATCAACACTAAGATACGTTGACATTTGTCCTATTCTGCGCAATTCTAGATAAATTACCTTACATAGATGGTTTATATGATGGTGCATAGAGAGTTTGCAGTCAAAATAAACGCCTAGATTTTTCGCTTTATCTGTGAAAAAGATTTTATCATTCCCAATACATGTATGGTCAAAATTACAAAGCAATATCCCTGGTTTAGCATTGCAAAACAGAACTTCGGTCTTATCATCATTCATTTTAAGTCTGTTTGATATCATCCATTTGTTTTACCTCCACAATACATTGTTCCATGCTGGTAACTAGACAATTGAAATTTGTTGGTAAA